TAACAAGAATAAGATCTATTTTGCAGCACTAAATCAAAATGTAAAATTAAAAAATTTACCTACAGCATTTCACACTTTATTTAGACCATTGATTGATAATTGTGATCATTGCAAACAAAAATTTGCAAGTAATTATAATCCTACTGGTTTGGTGCTGATATGTGACATGGATATCATTTGAATTGTTATAATACAATTGGTAGAAATTTAAATATTGTCTAGAGTTTTATGAAAATGGGATTACTACAAATGTAAAATCTTATGTTAATAGATTAGAAAAAGAAGTGGAAAATAACAATGAAATGTTAAATGAGGAAATTGATGATAATAATGAAGATGAAAATGATACCAGTGAAATAGAATTAGAAAATGCTCTCAATCAAATAATAAATTGGTGATTTGAAATTATTTATAAATATCAGAAAATGTTCACTCCATGACACAAAGCACAAGTGTTTAAACTGACAGACCTTTAATGACATGGTTTTGAAATATGACATTTGCAAGTTTCTGGCATTTATTTATTTTATTGTTACTCTTATATTGTTGTATAATAATAATAATTATTATTATTATAATTATTTCTTGTTTTTATTAAAAAAAATCTTGACATTATCATCTTTAAGAATAAATAAATATTTTTTTTGTATAATATGTTTTATAATATGGGACATGCTGCAACAAACCAGACAAAGTGAACATTTATATCACCAAGAATTTCAGGAACAAAAATTATAATAATAATTGATAAAAGCAATGGTTTTTATTTGTTTAATATCAATAGTAATAATAAATAATTTTATGCAAGAAGAGAAAGATAAGATAATTAATATAATTAATATTGTTAATAATAGTTTTGACTATATGATAATTTCAGTTTATTTGTTAAATCCATAAACAGTCATACCCTTCCTTTTGAGTGCATAAACTGCAATAATTATAATAATAGTAAGTAATTAAGTAATGATAGTAATAAAAATTAAAGATGATAACTAACCAATATCAAGAGATGTCACAGTCTTGCGTTTAGAATACTCTGTATAAGTAATAGCATCTTTAATCACATCTTCAAGAAAAACTTTTAATACACTTCGAGTTTCTTCGTATACGAGACCGAAAATACGCTTAACACCTCCACGTCTAGCTAATCTCTTAATTGCAGGTTTAGTTATACCCTGTATACTATCACGAAGAATTTTATGATGACGTTTAGTGTTTCCCCTTCCCCTTCCAATTTCTCTTTCATTATTTATATTGATGTTTTCTAATGTAAGGGTATAGAGTATAACATGGGTTATATCAACAAAATATATATGTTTCATAATAATATATCTAACATTTACAATTAAAAACCTGATAAATAATAATTGTACCTTCATTAGTAACTACACCAGCAGATATCTCGGGCACCAGATCTGGATCATCAGAATTTATATTATCGTTATCTTAATTTTCAATTTTCATAATTGATATAATCATAAGTTATTTTTCCAATCTTGAATGTACTTGCCAACAAATAAACTTACCAATTATTAAATCATTACTATTACTATTATGATCATTGAAATTGTCAATATAATTGGT